TCCCAGATGCTGAGAGAAAGCTTAAGTTCCTTATTCCTCTAACCCTCACTCTCTCACCCCACCCCTCCCGCACCCCCGAGCCCCATGTTCCCTTCCAGGGGCTAGAATTCATCCCTTCATGCAACAGGCACTGTGCTGGGTAATGGGGTCACCCACAGGACTCTCCAGCAATTTCCAGGGGAGACCTGCAAGTAACACCTTTTCTGTGAATTGGAGAAGGGGAGCAGATCTTAGTCTCCCTCATATTCTGGCAGGAGCTGAAGAACTTCAGGATTCGGGTCTGATGCCCTTTCAACTGAATGGCTTCAGGCCATTGCCAGAGCGGGTACACTTGCCATTGGATGAGTGAACGAGAAGGCCAGAAGTGTTCATAAGGGGGGTTGAGGAAATTTGGGGCATCATGGGAAAAAAATCTGCTGGCCCAGTCCCTGAGCCATCCCTAAACCCGTCCCTCTTCCCAGTTTCAGCTGTGCACAATCCTGGCAGTCACATCCTATCTGGAGTCTAGGAACTCATGACTAATTCAGGGAGTGTGTGTATTGTGGGGGCGGGGAGGTGGTAATCTCTTGAAAACAGAGATTTGCAAGGTAATGACTTGGAGAACTCAGCCCCAGCTGACCAGAGAAATCCTCTCTCCTGATTCCCTCAGGCCTTTGAGGGGAAAACTGGCCAGAGGCTAAGACCACCCCCTCCCACATTTCCCTAAATCAAGAGCAGGGTCTGGGCAGCCCTAACTTGGTTCCAATGTAGTTTTCTCACATCCCAGTTTCCAGTTCCAGACCCCAGACTTGCCCTTTTTGTTCCAGGATGTCCAGTCCTCTAGGCCACCTCATTCTTCAATCCTCACCTCCTTCACCCCTACCTCCACGGGGTAATGGGCCTGTCAGATGGTGGGTGATGGTTTAGAGATGGGCTTCTCCTGGGCTTAGAGACCTCCACTCATACTCCTTGCCTTCCACTCTTACTTCATGGCACCTGGTCATTACAAAATACACCCAGAAATCTAACCTACACCCTCCTGCCACTGTTTAAAATATTTTAATTAAAAGTATTTCTGTACAAACTCTTCTGCCACAATTTGTGAGCAGAGAGGGAAACCAGGTTGCAGGAGGGGAACAAGCAAGTCTAAAAGCGCAGGAGTTTTTCCTCTCAGAACTAAGTTCTCTTTTGGGGGCAGGCAGTCCCCATACCCTAACCCTTTGCACACATTCCTGCGTCTCCCCCAGTGAGAGATGACAAATCAGAGGGGAAAAGAGCTGGGTCAGCCTGGCTGGCGGAAGCGGGATGCTATTGTGGGAACAGAGAGTTAGTCATGCCCAGCCTTCAGCTACTGGCTCTAGGGGATTTTGTTTGGGTGCCTGTGAAAACACTTGGGAAGCTAAAGAGCACTGTGCAAAGATCACAGCTTTAGAGCCTGAGGCTTTGCTGTTTCCTGGCCGTGTGACCTGAAGCAACCTATTTAAAGACCTTGAGTCTCAGTTTCCTTTTCTGTAAAACCACCCCCACAAGGTTGTTGTGGAGATTAAAATGAAGTAAACTATTTGGCAGCTTTTACTATTTTATCGAGGAGCCTGGTGGTGCAATGGTTAAGAGCTCAGCTGCTAACCAAGAGGTCAACAGTTTGAACCCATCCAGTGGGCTCTGAGGGATAAAAACCTGGCGATCTGCTCCCATAAGACTACCCATGAACCCATTGCCGTCGAGCTGATTCCGACTCATAGTGACCCTACAGGACAGAGTAGAACTGCCCCATAGGGTTTCCAAGGAGAAGCTGGTAGATTCCAACTGCTGACCTTTTGGTTAGCAGCCAAGTTCTTAACAACTGTGCCACCAGGGCTCCTCCTCCATAAAGATTGCAGCCAAGAAAAGCCTGTGGGGCAGTTCTACTGTGTTATTTGGGGTCACTATGAGTCGAAATCAATATTGCACCAGACGACAACTGTTTTACCTGATCCTTTCTTGGCTCCTTAGCACTTAGAACGTGATTCCATACCCTATGCCTTCCAAGGGCCAGAGTGAGTGCCCACTTCGTAATAACCACCCTTCATAATAACCATCATCTCTCACACTAACACACACACCCTAAGTACCCACTCTGTCTTTCTGTCTCTCTCTTTTTTTTTTGCTTATACGAGGTGCCTAAGGGTAGGAGAGTTATTTGCTATCTTACTCGACCCCTTCCTCTCAAATCCTCCTTATTGTATCCTCCTCTCCTCCCTACCACCCTCAGCTCCTGTACCCCCGTTATTATCCTCACTAGTTCCTGTCACTTCCTCTTCCAGCCCAGCTGACATCTTTAGAGACCGAGGCTAGGCAGGCAGAGCTGAAGCCAAATTCAGACCCACGGTTGCGAGTGAAAGCATCAGAACGTTTCTAGCGGTTCTCTGCTGGGTGGAATTTACCGGTGGTTTTCCTTTTGTTCCCTGGTGATTTTGGTATTTTCCAAATTTACTACAATGAGCGATGGATAATTTTTATTCAGAAAAAAATCAATACAACTTTTATCAGGAAAAAAAAATCATAATTTTCAATTGACCCATGTCTGGTTCTCAAAAGAATAGGAACTGCAGGGGGTGAGGGAAGGGGAGGAGAGGGCAGGGATGAGGAAGAGCCTTGCAGGGGGCTGAGCAGGATGTGGTCCCAACACTCCGTCATGTCTCGGGTGCACCAGCCTTGGTAATGGCCCTAGCTATCATGACCTCTTATTCATCGGTCAGAGGCCTTCTGTGCTTCCTTGCCTGTCACTGGTCATTTGGGACTTAGTTACCCAACTGTTACTCAGTTGGGTACTAGGTGGATCAGGAGAACCAGCATCACTGAGGGCAGCAATATGAGTAAGGAGTACCCCCTACCTTGATCCTGGGGTGCAAAGAGTTCCCCTGTAGACTCCCAGCCTTTCAGCCTGTGGTGTGGAGAAGAGCTCAGAATTGTGGGCCTAGTGAGAACACGAGTTTAGTAACCCTGTCCTCCATTTCCATCCCTACTTCACAGTGCATTTGAACGATGTGCAAACGTATGATGCAAAAATAACAGAGGGACCCTCAGTGTCTCCTAACTCCTTAAAGAAGAAAGCGCTAAGCTTCAGCATGGTGTATGGAAAGAACATGGGCTATGGAGTCAGGAATGGATTCCTGGTGGCTCAGTAGTTAAGCGCCCAGCTGCTAAACGAAAGGTCGGTGGTTCAGACCCACAAGCCACTCTGTGGGAGAAAGATGTGGCAGTCTGCTTCTGTAAAGATTTATAGCCTTGGACACCCTATGGGGCAGTTCTACTCTGTCCAGTAGGGTTGGCGGCATTGGTTTTGGTATAGGTTATGCAGTCAGCATGGGAATTAGGGTTGTAGGCTGTGCCAGTTAGGATCTCCCTGCTTTGGTCAATTTCCCTCTCTGTTTCTCCATTCTCTTTTATGGAAAAATGATTCCTCCCTTATAGGATGGTTGGAGAATTAAATGAGATGATATATAAAGCACGTAGTTTCCAACAATGTTAGTTGTTGGTTGTGATCCCACGTGTATAGAGTAGAACTGCACTCCATAGGGTTTTCAAGGCTGTGACCTTTCGGAAGCAGATCATCAGGCCTGTCTTCAGAGGTGCGTCTGGGTGGGTTTAAACCACCAACCGTAAGGCTAGTAGTCGAGCACTTAACCATTTACATCACCCAGGGATTCCTAGTACATAATAAGCCAAAAAAAAAACCTAACCCATTGCTGTCGTGTTGATTCCGACTCATAGCGACCCTATAGGACAGAGTAGAGCTGCCTCATAGGGTTTCCAAGGAGTGGCTGGTGGATTCAAACGGCTGTTCTTTTGGTTAGCAGCCAAGCTCTTAACCACCACGCCACCAGGACTCCTAGTACATAATTGGTATTTTAAAATACAAGCTTTTCTTCTCTGAAGTAGCATTCAGGGTCCTTTCTAAACTCTGGCTCCCAACCACTCTCCTACCCCAGTTATTGTTTGGCAAACATTTGTTAAGCACTTCTGAAGCCTGGAGTTGGCCTTGGGGTAGGCACTAGGGATTCAATGGTGAACAAAACAGTCCAGACCCTTAGGAGTTTCCTCACTCACCACAGCGGCTTTTCTCAGCCCTGTGTTTTTACTCAAGACCTGCACGGTTCCTGTCCTTCAGTACTTTTAGTCAGCCTTCAGGGCCCAGGTCAGATCCTGCCTTCTCAGCAAAACTTCCCCACAGCCCATGACCCTTAGGCTGAGTTACTTCCTGCCTGGACTCCTAAAACCAAAAACCTGTTGTGTTGATTCCAAGTCATAGCAGCCCTACAGGACAGGGTAGAACTGTCCCATAAGATTTCCAAGGAACAGCTGGTGGATTCGAACGGCTGATCTCTTAACTGCTTTGGTTAGCAGCCAGGCTCTTAACCACTGCACCACCAGGGCTCCTTCCTTTATTTTGGGGACTTGGGTCTGCCTCCACCCTATCTGTAAACTCCCTGAGGGCAGGCTGAGACCTTGCTCTTAATTTTTTCACCTGAAACCCAAGCACCTTAACTGCCTCTTACATCTTAGCTTTTATTTTTTCTCTTTTTCTAGAGTTCACAGGGAAAGAGGAAGGTTGAAGCTGAGGAATTTGGGGTCCCTGAGACACAGGAATGTCTACCTCCAGGCGATGGCATGGTCCCTCTTCCTAGTCTCTCCAGGGACTCTGCTTCTCATCCTGCCTGGATGCCCAACCCCAGGACAACCTGAAAAGTCTCCCCATCTCCAGCAGAGGACTCTGGGAGAGGGGGCTGGGAGTTCTCCTTGACTTCTCCTCTCTGGTAGGGCAAGGGTTAATGGTGAATTGCAACATATCTCTGGGCTGAGTCACCTCCCCCTGCCACTCCCCACAGTTTCCCTCAGCTAAAGTTTTAAAAAGAGGACCCAAGGCTGGACAGGGAAAGGAATTGAAGGTAAGAGCCCCCTCCTAGCCCTGCTCCCCTAGCCTCCCAGAAACCTCAGGGTAGAGGCACAGACAGCTTCTGGAGCTGCTGCCTGGTGGGACCATGAACTGGCAGTGGCTGTGGCTGGGTTTCCTACTGCCCTTGACAGTCTCAAGCCGGCCTCTGGAGCCTGCAGAGATGGAGGCGGCTGTGGTGAGTCTCAGGGAAAGAGGGACTCCGGCAGGGGGAGGGCAGGAAGTGCCACTCCACAGTTCCATCCGAGCCTCCCTCCTGACCGTCATCCCCCCTGACTTTTCTTTTCCTTCTTGTAGGCCGTGATCTACCCCTGCCCGCTCTCCTCTTTCCCGATGTTCTGCCTGAGCCCCTTCCCTGATCTGGTCCCTCCATGTCTAGTCCCTGCCTATCCTGATGGCCTGTTAGGCCACTTAGAAGCTTCACCCTGAGACTGACCCCTTTTTCATTCTGCTTGCTCTCACCTCCTTCACAGGATTATCTGCTGCAATACGGGTACCTACAAAAGCCTCTAGAAGGACCAGATGACTTCAAGCCAGAAGACATCACAGAGGCTCTGAGGTAAGAGGTTACAAAACATACATGCCTTTAGAGTTGAAGTCACAAGGTCTTCGTGTTCCCTCTCTCTTCCCTTCCTTTTCTCATGCCCACCTTTGCCTGATCCAAGTCCATGTCTGGGATCCAGTTGTTGGGTGGCTATCATTGTTAGGGTTGTGGGGCATATGGTAAGATGGAGACCCAAGGATTTGGAGCACAGTGATTGGATCTTTCTAGGCCCTAATCACTTTTTTGAGTCCCTGGGAGGTGGAAACGTTTAACATGCTCGGCTGTTAACCAAAAGATTGGAGGTTTTAGTCCACCCAGAGGTGTCTCGGAAGAAAGGCCCGGCAATCTGCTTCTGAAAAATCAGCCATTGAAAACCCCGTGGAGTACAGTTCTACTCTGAAACACATGGGGTCACCATGAGTTGGTATCAACTCCATGGCAACTGATTTTTTTAAGCACCCCTTTAGAGGCTCCACCCCACATTATATGTAAAGTACTAATATTCAGTCACATCCCACAGGAAGTATAATTTATATGTAACCATGAGTTGAGTTGAGTTAGAGTTGAGTTATTGACACGATGTTACCTTTCATGGACATTTAAGTCAATACTTATTTATTTCTATTTTGCAGTTTTCCTTTCATATTTTGAATCTTATGGATTATTATTATTTTTTTTTTCTACTCTCAAACATGTTCACAGTCCCTTGAAAAGCCTGTAGGCTCTGGTCACAGGGCAGGCTGGGCTTGGGGGAGTCCAGCTAGGAGAGGAGAAGGCTGAGGGGGGACAGAACCTGAGGCGGAGTGCTGATGGGAGAGCGTTCAGAGGGGGAAAGGGGTACTTTCCCATAGCAGGAGAAGGTTACAAATTGCAGCAGAGGCAGAAGGTTACACCTGAGGGGAACCTCATCCAAGAAAAAGAGACTGAGGATGTGGAGATGAAGTTGGAATATCGCTATTTTTTGCAAAACAGCAGAGAAAGTCCCAATTATGAGGACTGGAGGCTAGAGTGACCCCTCCAACCATTCTTGGTCACCACCTTGGACAACAGTGGGCCAAGAGCTATCCTCAGTTCCCAGTCATTCCAGAGTCCTCTGCCTGGTCCCTGCTGTGCTGGATCCATCCAGCTCCTTCTTTCCAGAGTTTTTCAGGAAGCATCTGAGCTGCCAGTCTCAGGTCAGCTGGATAATGCCACAAGGGCCCGCATGAAGCAGCCCCGCTGTGGCCTGGAGGACCCCTTCAACAAGAAGACCTTCAAATACCGGCTGCTGGGTGAGGACTGAGCCTGGGATAAGGAGGGAGAAGAGAGGGTGGCATCGGGAAAGCCCGGGCCAGCTCAGTGTTGAATGACAGCTTGGTAATTACCTGGTGATCACCTACCTGGAGGTGTTGTGATCTGGCTTTGCTGCAGGGGAGCTCTGTAGAGTACTCTGAAGTTTGCAGGAAGATCTGTGTTTCTAATCTATTTTCTGGTTTGATAATCAGGTCGCTGGAGGAAGAAGAACCTGACCTTCCGCATCTTGAACCTGCCCTCCACCCTCCCACCCCACATAGCCCGGGCAGCTCTGCTTCAAGCCTTCCAGTACTGGAGAAATGTGGCCCCCCTGACCTTCCGGGAGGTGCAGGCTGGCTGGGCTGACATCCGCCTATCCTTCCATGGCCGCCAAAGTCCATACTGCTCCAATACCTTTGATGGGCGTGGTAGGGACCTGCTTCCACCTCACAGATCTCTGAGATTACCTCTGTCCCCTTGAGCCTGTGACTGTGGAGCCTTAATGTTCAGGCTGTCTCCTATGCCCACCTGCAGCCTACACTCTCTAACCACATTCTGATATTCCCTAGGGGAGCAGCTGTTCACCTACCTGGGGCTTTACTAAGCCTCCTCTTTAGAGATCATGCCTCCTTCCTTGGCTTGAATTCCCCTACCCAAGGTACACCTCAAGGAGGACTGGGCCAGAGAGGAGAAGGTGGCTGAGAAGTAAAGAGTCATGGGTATCCCTACAAGAACTGGGTGATGACAGGGGAATATGAAAGGAGAGGAAGAGACATCCAAGAGACCGTGACTACAGATGGGGGAATTTTAAGGAAATGAAGTAATAGGAGTTTGTAACAGGCAAGGGATGCTCCAGCTTAATAGACTTTGACCTCCTTCCTGTCCTCTTTTGCCTTTGTGCAGGGAGGGTCCTGGCCCATGCTGACATCCCAGAGTTGGGCAGTGTGCACTTTGATGAGGATGAGCTCTGGACTGAGGGAACCTACAAGGGGGTGAACCTGCGCATTATTGCAGCCCATGAACTGGGTCATACCCTGGGGCTTGGGCACTCCCAGTATACCCAGGCCCTCATGACCCCCGTCTACACTGGCTACCAGCCCTACTTCAAGCTCCACCAGGATGATATAGCAGGGATCCAGGCTCTCTATGGTCAGTCCCTTCCCCTGGTGAGCATGAGGATTGAGCTGGCCAGCATCTCTTCATGGAGGGAAATGGCTCGGCTTCTTTCTCTTCCTCCTGCCCAGTTATTCCAGCTTCTTCATCTTCTGGAACTGCTTCTCCCTGACTCTTTCATGCCTAATCTTCCTTCCACGCCTGTCTACCCTTACACTCATACTTGGGCATGGAGAACACACATTCCAGCAAACTTCCTTTCTCCTTTCTGATGTCTCTCAAAACACACGTCTCCTGCTGATATCAACATGATCTCACCCAGCACTAAGGAAACTCTCTAGGCCTCTCTATGGGCCTCTGAACTGAACTTACAATAAGATGGGTGGGGAGGCCAGGTGCTATGAGTTGTCTCCCTGAGCAGCATTACTTCACCTTGCAGGCAAGAAGAGCCCAGAGAAAGAAGAAGAGATGGAGGTGCCCTCCGTACCCCCAGTGCCAAAAGAGCCCAGCACCATGCCAGACCCCTGCAATGGTGAACTGGATGCCATATTGCTGGGTGAGGCCCTCCCTCTCCAGGCTGTAGACAGACAGTAGGGGGCAGCCTGATGACCCTGAGGCCTGGACAAATGGAAATAACGTGGGGACCTCAGCATAAGCAATAGAGGTTAGACCGCAGGCAGGGAGGTTAGACCCCAGGCAAGGGTTGATAACTGTGAAGGAGGCATGTGGTGTGGAGTATGGGTGGGGAGGAGTCAGAGGCAATGAAAGGTGGGCCAGGCAGGCAATTTCCTTGGTTGCCACCCTATAAGAGTCACTAAAACATATCTGGAAATACAGCAAGATGGAGGAAACGATATTAACCAGAATGCCTAGGAAGTGTATTGTACCCGGTTGGAAGCCACTTGGAATGGAGAGTGAGGTCCCCAAGGGGTCCAGCTATGTGTAGGGCTTTTGTTTTGTGGACTGTATCAGAGCTGAATTGCTCTGAACAACAAAGGAGAGGCTGAGCACTGGTTCCTCCTTCTTTTCCTTAATCTTCAATTAAAGTTGAAAGAATTTTTGAGGAATCAGCTTGTGGGAGGAGGGCAGATTATCAGCCTGCCTGAGACACCCACAAGTCTCTGTCTATTTGACCCCTGCCTTTTTCTACTTATTGACACACCTTTTGCTCTCAGGGCCCCACGGGAAGACCTATGCCTTCAAGGGGGACTACGTGTGGACTGTGACAGATTCAGGGCTGGGTCCCTTGTTCCCAGTGTCTGCCCTTTGGGAAGGGCTCCCAGGAAATCTGGATGCTGCTGTCTACTCTCCTCGAACACAACGGACTCACTTCTTTAAGGGTAAGGGGACGCTTACAGTGTCTCTTCTGAGGACCTAGTCTCAAATCAACCATAAAGGGGAGGGAGAAATGAGAAGTTTCTGGAAGGGTGAGATGGAAGGACCAAAAGCTATCCCAAGAGCAGAGGTGACTTGTTCTTTTTTTTCACACGCTCTCAGGAAACAAGGTGTGGCGCTACATTAATTTCAAGATGTCTCCTGGCTTCCCCAAGATGCTGAATAGGATAGAACCCAACCTGGATGCAGCTCTCTACTGGCCTCTCAACAAAAAGGTGTTCCTCTTTAAGGTATAAAGTTCAAAGGAAGGGCAAATCTCTTTAGGAGGGGTGGGCTACCTCATACTGAGAAGCAAAGACTTGCTCTTGAAGGGGAAAATCTTCTACAGCTGGAGTGGGCTGGGCTAGACTTTTGGGAGTCCATAAGCTCTCTTCTCATCCTTCTCTTCACCCCCACCATTCCACACCCAGGGCTCCGGGTACTGGCAGTGGGACGAGCTGGCCCGAACTGATTTCAGCAGCTACCCTAAACCAATCAAGGGGTTGTTTACGGGAGTGCCAGACCGACCCTCGGCTGCAGTGAGTTGGCGGGATGACCGAGTCTACTTCTTCAAGGGCAAACATTACTGGCGCCTCAATCAGCAGCTTCGGGTAGAGAAAGGCTATCCCAGAGACACCGCCCAGAACTGGATGCACTGTCATCCCCAAAGCCCAGACACTACCCCTCAGGTGGGGACACCGCTCCTTCAGTAACACATACTGACCACTTAACCACAGGCACAACCTTGGATACCACTGTCTTAGTCATAGATACCACCTGGAACACTGACCACTCACCCACAGGCACAATGTTGGACGGTCTCCCCTCAGCCACAGGTTCCAACACCCTTTCATTACCTGGTAATGTCACCCTCCCAGAGGCCTAAGACCTGAGTCAAATGTCTGCTCACTAGAACCATGCAGGGGCAGCCCCACAAGCTATTATATGTGAGCTGGTAGACCACGGCCTTCTAAAGGTCCCCTGCTCTGGTCAACAGTCCCCTGTGCTCTTTCCCTTCTGGGAAGTGCCTCTGACTCTGGGTCAGCCCCCAACTCCATGCATTTCCTCCCCATTCTTGTCCTCCATAGCACTTCCAACTGTGTAATCTACTGTCTGGAGGATAGTGGTAGAGAGCAGGTGTCAATCAGGCCTTTAGCTGACAGGAGACAACAGCTGGGAGGCTGGTTGCCTGGGTCCTGTTCTTCCTAGATAAAGTGCAAAAGAACAGTATGGCCAGTAAAATGAGCAAGGGCTTTGGAATCCTTAAGAACCACATTTACTTGTTTATTGGCAGGTTAATTAACCTCTTTGAGCCTCGGATTTCCCATGTGCAAAATAAGGTTAATACCAACCCTGCAGGGTTGTTGCATTAAATGAGATACTATATATGAAGTGCTGAGCACAGTGCCTGGCACATTTGTTCTAAATAAAGGCTAACTTCATGTTCTTAAGAGAGGAGTGAACAGCTCTTCCTTGGCTCTGTGTGTGTGGGTATGTAATGCCTACAGTAGTCCAGTGTGGTAAGGGAACCCCATCAGACCTTTAGGGGACAGAGGATGTGTCAATGTGGCTAACTCTTGGTTTGGGGTACAGAGAAAAAAACCAGCAACAGCAGAGGCCAGACTCCCCAATTCAGTATTCAGCGCCATTTTATTCACATGCTCCCACATTCTTCCTCCATCCATCGTGGGCTTTGCTGCCCAGGGGTGGGATATATTTTCTTTCATGCTCTCTGGGGAACAAGGGAACAGACTTTGGGCTGCAGAGTCGGAGGGGGGAAGAGTTAGAGGGGGTTAGTGGTTTGAACTTAACCAGAGCTTTTAGGGTTAAGGAGGAAATTAGTCTCACCCATAGTGAGAGGCAGAGAAGGCACTTGTCTCCCATGCAACCCCAAAGACCAGGCTCCTTTGGGCAAAAGGGCAGGCTCTGGCATGTAGGACGATGCTCTGTCCTTGGAGCAGGAAGCCAGTTTTTGTGGGAGGCAGGCGTGGAGCCAGGCATGGCCTTGTGGTCTTTCCCAGGTTAAGAAGAAAAACATGGGAAGCACCATAGAGGACAGTGCCCCCAATTGAGGTAGGAGAAGGGGGCTCGAGCCTGTGGGGTCCAGGGGGAAAGGCTAATCAGGAACCCAACCACCCCCTAATGAAGGGCCTGTGGATTAGGGGGTCCTGGGCCTCCTCTGTGCTGCCCTTCTCCCCATCAAACAGCTAGCAAGTGCCTAGGAGGCTCCCTGATTTTCTATAGGTCCTACGAAAACTAACCTCCTCATTTTACCATTGTGAGGCACACAGAGGTGGGCAGTATACAACAGAAGCTATTTGGGAAAGAGGCCTCCCCAGTGTGGGGGGAATTAGAGAGTCAGTTTCTTTGGGGACCAGACACTTGTAATATTGGACAGAGGTAGATACTCACACTTCCATTTTTCTCCCCTCTCCCCCAGGATTCCTCTCTGTCCCTGAAACATATCCCTATAGAGCTGGGCTGGGCTGGAGCACAGATCTATCCCCAAGGCCAAGAGGTGGGGAAGTTTGTGTATGGGTCTTGTGGGCTTAGGCCCTGCCCACCTAGTCTTCCCAGTCCCCTTACTAGGGGAGGTTTTATCATAGCAGGCTTAGGCTCAAGTCTAGGTGGAAACAGAAGGTGTGGTGAGGGGAACGGTGGAACCACAGTCAGAATCCAGGTCCAGGATGGTGTGGGCAGCAGTGGCCTGGGTGCCTGGCCCCAGGTGGCGCTCTCGAAGGCTCTGGAGATAACTCTGGAGGGGCACAGGGCAGAGAGGGTGGGAGGAGGGGCCCAAGTCAGAGTCCCCCTTCCACCCTGGCCATCCCCATGTACCCTCTGCCCCTTCCCCCCAGGGTGCCTGCCCCACTCACTGGAGCCAGGCTGTCAGCAGGGCTCCGGGCATTGGGAGGCAGCTGGCGGTGGTAACTGCCCTCAGAGAGCCCCACCCCAGGGCCGGTCCGGTGCCACTTGGCCTCCTGCTGACGGATCCGAAGGAGTTGGAGTTGCCTTTGCTGCCGGCTCAAGACTACCGCTTGGGAGGAGGCAATGCAGATGCAGGGAGGCTTCTTTAGACCCTGAATCCCACCCCCAAGCACACTCCCACTGTAGAGAAGTCCATCTGACCTCCCTGTCGTGGTCTTCTCATGTCTCATCTTTTTCCCTGTTATTCCAAAAGAAACGCTTTCTTTGGAATCCTCCTACTCTTTCCTCCTGGACTTCCCTGAGATCCTCTTTTCCTTCCATAATAGTTCCCAATAACTCTTCCTGTCTCCCTTCACAATTTCTCTTCTCACTCTTACCCAGACCTTCTTTGGCTCCTCCACATCTAACTTTCTTTCAATGCCCTGACCCACTCACCTTGAACACCCCCACCCTCTTCCCTCAAATGTATTTCTCCCCTTCCCCTCATCAAGTCTGGGAACTAGGGGCATGAGTGGACACAGGCTGGCTGTTTCCGTACCATGACACTAACTTACCATTGGCGTGGCCTCCATGTTCCTCAGCCATGAGCTTCCACTGGGCCAGGGCCCCAAGAGCTCCCAGGGCTGGCCAGGCCCCGAGTAAGACCCAGCTATACCAGCAGAGAGGAGGCAGGGCTGGAAGTGCCTGCAGCCGTTGGCTCAGCCGACTGCCTAGTGCCAGCCCCTCCAGGAAGAAGTCAGCACAGGCCACCAGCACTGCAGCACCCAGCAGGGCTGTGCCGAGAACTGTGAACGGGCGCGGCCACCGAAGGGTGAGCAGGGCTCCCAGCAGTGCCAGCCCCACCAGGCCCCCGGCTGGGACCCAGGCTGAAGGCGGTTGGTAGATGGGCTCAGTGCCCAACAGGGCTCCAGCGCCCAGGGTCAGGCCTAGCAGGAGACCAGTCAGGAAGAGCCCGACACTGCGAACCAGCATGGTGACCAGGCCGCAGAGGAGTCCAATGCCCAGCGCAATGCCCGCGCTCACCTCCAAGCTCAGCTGTGTCTCCAGCACCCGCTCCTTGTGGCACAACAGGAAGATCACCAGAGCTCCTGACAGCAGGCCCGAGAGAAACATCACTGCCTTGAAGCAGCGGTAGCCTGGGGAGGGAGGCAGGAGGCACTGAGAGGCAGAAAGGGGGGTATCCAGGGATGGCTCTGATGATCTGGACAGGTGAGGAATGGCAACCCAGAGGAGCAGAAGACAGGAATAGCACATCAAGGGGCCTCAAGGCAAGCGGCAGAGAGCAATAATATCAGGGAGGGCAAAGGATAGTTCAGGAACTGTGAGGGGATGGAGGGGAAAACCTGAGGTAAGACAGATGCATTGAGGGGAGTAAGTCTAGAAAGAAAGTCTAGTCCTCCCAGGGATGGCAGGTGGGAAGAAATCAGCACAGGGTTATTCAGGCTACTGGGGAAGGGTGACAAAGCCTTAGGCATGGAGTATAACTTGGGAGTGGAGTTTTGAGGTAGGAGGCAAGAGGAGGGCAAATGAGAGCTGCCAGGGATCAGAGCCAGGAGGTATAGGCATGGGGAAGGACAAGAGGAGATGCTGGCGAAACAGGCATGGGCCAGACTGAAGGTAGGCATTCCCTGGTAGAGGAGTGGAGATGGCCCAGGAGCAGAAAAAGTTGGCATGATCCTTGAGGGTGACAGTAGTGGGAAGCTGCCCCCCAGGACCCTCACCGAAGCAGCAGTAGATGATTCCAAAGCAGCAGCAAAGGGCACACACTAGGATGGGTGCCAGTTCAGGACTGTCCTGGGGTTCCAAGACACATCTTGGGTCTGGAGGCTCTGGGAGTTGTTGGTTAAAGGGCCTGGGGTCAGAGGTCATGACCAGGGGCAGCAAGTCTTCCTCCATGGCTGAAGAGGAGGTGGTCACAGGGGGAGGTGTCAGTTTCCCTCATCCATCCATGAAATCTCTTGAGGGGGTTGGGAAACCTGCAAGGCGGTAGGGGGTGGCAACTCATACGCCCATGAATATTGAGGACTATGTACCTTATTTATTTTGAAGAAAGGTCAGTTTTAAGAGGGAGCATGGCCCTGCTGGGTAATTTAAGAAATCTGTGGGATTGGGTTGAGGGAAGTGGGCTGTCTTTTCACTGCCCTGTGAAACAAGGACACTAAGTAAAACTTAAATAAATAAAAATTTTCTGAGCTAAGAGGCCTTCGTCTGCCCCCAAGCTTTTCCAGGTTAGGGTAGGAGTAGGAAGCTCTGGGTCTGGGGAGGGAAGGGCCCCAGGGGCACTAGTGGGACTGGGGGCTAAAGCTCCAGCAGCTTGCTCCAGCTGAAAAGAAAGCTTGTTCTGTCTGCAGCTGGGACTCAAAACTACTCCCCTGGACTGGAAAGGGAAGGGTTAATAGAAGGGGAGAAGGAGGAGGAAGAGGAGAGAATGAGTCATGGTGGTGTCTCTGGACAGCCGCTCTAACCCCAGGGAAGAAAGAAGGAAAAACACCGGACCCCAAAGGAGTTTGGGACAAGGAATCAAGTAGAGATACTTTATCGGAATTTTGAAGCCTTGGCTTCATGCCGAGATACAGTTGTTGAGGGAAGGGAAGTCCAGCCACAGTCCACCTCCAACGGCCCGTCACGGAATAAGCAGGCGCTTCACCCACAGGCATCTCATACCCTGGTAGCCACTCCTACTGAGGATACTGGTACCAGACTTTTTCCTACCTCTCCCTTGCCCCAGGAGTGTCAGGGCTGCCAATGGGATTTAAACTCAGTTCCTAAAAGGAGGAGAAAACCCAGGAGGGGCTGGCATTTTGGGCACTATTGGAGTGGGTGAAGTGGATGCAGGTACTTTCTCCTCCAGCTGTCCTTTTTTGGGACCTCTAGGTCCAAACAGGCTGGAGGGACTGCTTGGGAAATCCCTGGGGCTCCTCTCCTCAATCCGCTTGGAAGTCTGGGGACCCTAAACAAGGGAAAGTTGGGGAGGGGGTGTTTACTCACCACCCTGCCAGGGCTGAGGAGAGGAGGGGGTGGAAGTGCTTCCCTAGACCCCCAGCTGCATGCTTGCCCGGAGGTCCCCGGCGTCGGGGCGGCTGTCGGACGTGGGCCCCCCCAGGGCCACCCTGTTCGTTGCCCCCTAAACTTTTGCAAGTCGTAGCCCAAGCCCTGGGAGCTAAATGCAACCAGCTTGGGGGTGGAGGAAGGGGACGGGGGTGGAGGAAGGGGACGGGTGTGGGTGGGTGGGTGGCTTTGACATCACGGGGCGGGACCCTCAAACTCTTTCCCCTGTCTGTGGGGGGGATCCAGGTTACCCACCGCTCTAGGCTGGGACTAGAGACCCCAAACCACAGCAGGGAAGGGTCTTGGGGGAGCATCGCAAGAGGTTTGGGGAAGGTCTTTGAAAACTTAAGAGATGACTCGACAACTAGAAGCTCAGAAAGCCCCAACCAGGGTCCCAGTGTCCCCCTAGCTCCGGCTTGGTTTCTTCCACTTCCCAGAGAATTGGAGTATTGTCTTCTGGAGAACCGGGTGGTCGGGATCGGGGACCTGGGGAAGGGGCTATTACTGGCCTGAGGGCGCCAGCGGGGGGCTCATGGGTGAAAAATCTTACGGAACAAGACACGGCCTGGAAAGGGCACTGACAAGAGCGGTGTAAGAGGATAGAGGCGTGTGCACTGGAGGGGACGGAAGGCGAGGGGACCCAAGCCGGGTCTGCGTGGGGGCGGGGGCGCGTGTCGACGTCGACCGAAAGGCTCGGTATGCAAATGAGATGCAAAGAAGCATGCAGATGAGCGCAAGGTTCTTTGGCACTCGGCTCTGGCCCTAAACCCAGCGGAGCTACACCCTCAGTTCCCCGGCCCCGTTCCCTGACCGGGCCTGAGAGCTGCGTCCAGAAGGGCGGATCCGGGCCGTGGGAGCTACAGTTATAAAGGGGCAGTTCGCCAGCTGGGTCAGGCGCTGGGGAGGCCCAAGGTTTGCTGGGAAAGCAGGAGCATCGCTGGGGGGTCAGGGTGGGGGCTAGCCTGGGGCGCTCTCCCCTCTGCTCCACCCCTGCAGGATACAAAGAGGCCTCTGTCCTCGGCTGCGGTCCGCAGGGAACGGATCAGGGCGGTAGCTCCTCTACGCTCCCTGGTTTTTTTTGCAAGGGAGACTGAGACTGTAGCTCGGTGGCTCTCCACCATCTCCCAATCTCGGCAGAGCCCAGGAATACGGCCAGAGGAACCCTGAAAATCTGCCCCCAGTCCGCACGCACTGCTGCAGCGATCGCTTGCTTTGCTTCCAGCGGTGCAACCGGTCGGGATCCCATTCCGGCGCACGGAGGGCGGTGGCGGGGGGCCCTTTAAAGGGCGGGGCCGGTGCTTCCTGAGACCACCTCCTTTGATTTGACTCTGTACTTGCTGGACCTGCTCTCGCGTCGGCCAACCGCTTTCCTTTTCCTTCCCGTCTCTTCCCTGGTGACCCCGGAAGTGGAAGTGGGCTCAGGTCGGTGGCGAAGACGGAAGGCGGAAGCAGAGCGTGAGCGGGAGGCGGAGCCGGGGGAGCTGCTCTCGTAGCTCCCCCTGGCCCCTGGCTCAGCTGTTCGAGGGGGAGGAGTTACCGCCGCACTTCGGTACGTTACCTTCGCCCCCTCAACCCGGAGTTGTCTCCCTCAGGGGCAACCCTAAGCTCTGCCCCCAGATTTTCTTTAGGGGCTGCACGGTCCCCACCCTTTTCTGGCAGCCTGTGGCTCCCCTTTCCGGCCCGCTTTCCGTTTTTCCCAAGAGTGACCCTAGGACCACACCCTTTACGGTACCTCCCTCTTTAGGATTACAGTTTTCTGAGGGAATAAAAACTAAGGGAATTTGGAGGGAGGAGGGTTGTGGTTAGTTTAGTTCTGGTTTATTGCTAGGAGTAATGAGTACCCTAAAAGAACCTGGGAAGACGTGTCCCCCCCCCCGCCCCTTGGGAGATTGATGCATTAAATGTATCCCGACGTAAAATTATTTAACCCCTCTCAGTTCCATTCTTGACACCTTTATTACAGGCATCAGAACCTCCCATGATGGCTGTCACCTAAAACCCTCAGGAAGCCCCGGGGTCATGGCCCAGAAGCACCCCGGAGGAAGAGGGTTGTGTGGAGCCCACCACAGTGGTGGTGCTTCCCTCAGGACTTTCGGACCCTCCGTGGAACCTGACATACTTTCATTCTCAGGACCCAGGGACTCAGCGGGAACTACCCTTAATGGTACCCGCTGCCTCACGGAGCAATCAGATCCTAAGTACACACAGCCTCCAAACCCAGCCCACTGGTCAGATCCAAGCCATGGCCCCCCAAGGGGTCCAGGACCCCCCAGGGATGGAGAGGATCCTGATCAGAGTGAGATATCTTCAGAAGAACAGTCAGGAATGGACCAGGAACTCTCAAGAGAGAATGAGGCTGGGTACCAGGAGGATGGGAACCCTTCTTTTCTTTCCATTCCACCTACTTGCAACTGCCAGAGAACCCCTGGAATCCCTGAAGGTCTTTACTCTGAGGGAGGAGATAGCTCTTCTAGCAACTTTTGCCATCACTGTACCTCTCCAGCCTTGGGGGAGGAAGAAGAGTTGGAAGAGGAATATGATGAGGAGGAACCTCTTAAGTTCTCCAGTGATTTTTCACGTGTGCCCAGTGGAAAGAAACCTCCACCCCGGAGACAGCGGCACCGTTTTCCAACCAAGGAGGATACTCGAGAGACTGGACGCAGAGATCCCCGGTCCCCTGGGCGACATCGGCTGGGCAGAAAACGAAGTCAGGCAGATAGGCGTAGAGGCCTGGGATTGTGGGGAGCAGAGGAACTATGTCAGCTTGGACAGGCAGGCTTCTGGTGGCTGATTGAACTGCTGGTATTGGTGGGAGAGTATGTGGAAACTTGTGGGCATCTCATCTATGCATGCAGGCAGCTGAAAGGCAGTGATTTGGACCTTTTTCGAGTCTGGGTGGGAGTCTGGGCTGGGCGGCTGGGGGGCTGGGCCCAGGTGATGTTCCAGTTTCTGAGCCAGGGGTTTTGCTATGGGATAGGGCTGCTCACCCGTTTTCTTAGGCTAGTGGGTGCTTTGCTGCTTCTGGCTCTTGCCCTCTTATTGGGCTGTCTACAGTTGGGCTGGCAGTTTCTGGTAGGACTAGGTGACCGGTTAGGCTGGAGGGGTAAGGCTACCTGGCTGTTCTCTCGGCTGGATTCTCCTGCCTTGCAGCGTTGCCTGACTCTGCTGAGAGATAGCAGGCCATGGCAGCAGCTGGTAAGAATGGTTCAGTGGGGTTGGCTGGAGTTGCCTTGGGTCAAGCAGAGGACTAACAGGCAAGGGAATGCACATGTAGCTAGCGGGCGCTACTGCCAGCCTGAAGAGGAAGTGGCTCGACTCTTGACCATGGCTGGGGTTCCTGAGGATGAGCTAAACCCTTTCCACGTGCTAGGGGTTGAAGCCACAGCATCAGATGTTGAAATGAAGAAGGCCTATAGGCAGCTGGCAGTGATGGTGAGTAACCTTTCCCTTTTCTCTGTTCCCTCTTTTGTTTCTATCTTTTATTTTCTATTCCAGTTTTGGGGAGAGTGGAATAAAGGGAAGGCAGTGCAAGAAGTCAGCTTGAAGCTGAAAGGTAACTTATTCTTGGAAAAGAGTCGTAAAGACTTTTCCTCCTCTACTATGGCTCTGATCTTCCCTCAATTTTTAGTTTTTTGTCATGAGATTTTATTATTATTGTGAAGAATAAACGTGATATATCAAGCACTATTGGAATCACTCGCCCTGGAATATCCAGGTGAAGTCCTTTTGACTAGGGTGAAGAGGCCTAGTCAGAAAGCCCCTCAGCTGCTCTGCCCTGAACAAATGACGGTTTGTTCAACACAGGAAAACACAGCTCTCTCTCCCAGAGGAGTAAGTGTGCATCTGGTGTGGGAACGCTCAGGGAGTTCATGTGAGTGATTATTCTAGGACCAGGTAGAAGAAGAAAAGCTATTTCAAGACCAGCAACCCGGAGTAGGAAAGGAAAGGAGAATGGAACATAAATCATAGAGAGGTGTATGTGTATCCTACATGAAAATATGGTTGCCTCTATTGATAAAGATGACTGTAATTGTGACACACCATATGTTTGAGAGCAATGGTTTAATACAAGCATGCAATCAAATTGCTATTAGAAATAGCTATTAGATTGCTGTTACTAGATACATGATTATTGTTATTTCTGTATAAATAAAGTATATTATGAATGTAAGAAATGTGTGCAAATTGCATTGAAGGCCTATTTTTGCTGACTATGTGGAACTGGACTGGTAAAACGTCACAGTGTGCAATTACCTTATTGGTTGTATAACACCAAAGAGGAATGGACTACCAAGGTTTTCTTTAAAGTATTCAAGGCACAGTAAACCACCAGGGCTGTAACTTACCAAAGGACTAAATTAGTTTGGTGGAAAATCCATGCCCCTTACTGGATAGTTTGGGAAATTCTTACGAGTAGGGGAACAATTGCTTACACTGTAATTTGTTACTAATAGTAGAGCTCTTTTCTCACCTTTATGTCTTTTTAGCAGACATCCTTTCTTGGGAAATAGCACTCTTAGAAGTATTCTCATTTTTCAACTTACTTCTCTTGGAGTAGAAATTTAGTTAAATTCTCCCATCCTCAACACACCTGTCCTCACATTCCAAAGTTTTCCCTGGCCCAGAGTGTCCATGGGCTTTTTTATAGAACACCTCACTGCCCTTACTAGACTGGGCCACACTGTGATGATGAAGTGGCTGTTTCATTAGACTGGGAATGTGGGAGATTTAACGGCATTCTGTTTATTTGGCATCAATCAAGAGACTAACTTAATCTCTGTATTTTTGGGGCATGGAGATCAGAACATTGGGAAACTGTAGGAAGAGGGGAGATTATTTGTCTTATAGAAAACGCTAAAGATTGGATTAAAAGCCTCTGAGCATGGTGATACGCTGTTTCATTTCTGGGACAGAAAGAAGTAGCAGACTATTGTAGGAAGATTTGAGTAGACAGAATTTTCCAATTAGAAAAGAATGAGTTTGAGGATGTAACATCTTTAGAACTCCTCCTTTGATAAAAGTACAATGTGAGGGCTTGTATGTGTATGCTAGGTAGGGTGACCACCTGTCCAGCTGCCTGAGACTGAGGGGTTTCTTGAGACATGGGGCTTGCAGTGCTAAAACTGGGATAAAAAACAAAAAAAACCCTGTTGCTGTCGAGTTGATTCTAACTCATAGCGACCCTATAGGACAGAGTAGAACTGCCTCAGAGGGTTTCCAAGGAGCCGCTGGTAGATTCGAACTGCTGACCTTTTGGTTAGCAGCCGAGCTCTTAACCACTGCACCACCAGGGGTCCAAAACTAGGATAGTCCCAGGCAAATTGAGATGGTGGATCACCCCAGTGCCAGATTCTGTGCTATGTATCCTTCACATGCATTCTCCTTTAATCCTCTCAACAGTCCATGGTAGATAGGGTTGCTATGAGTGGGAATCGACTCGACGGCAATGGGTGTGTGTATAATGATGGAGAAACTGAGCCTTAAAATCTTCAAGGTCATAGCTATTATTAGCTATTAGATATATGATTGCTATATCTGGGACTTGAACCCAGATTTGTCTGCAGAGCCAAAGCAATTAATCATTCAGCTATACTGACTCTCCAAAAGGGTGGTGAAAGAAGAACCCTTCAATCTGAGATTATTTTGACCTAAATTGGGGAGAGGGTTGGAATGGACTTGTGATGAATTCTCTGTCTTGATAGGTTCATCCTGACAAAAATCATCATCCCCAGGCTGAGGAGGCCTTCAAGGTTTTGCGGGCAGCCTGGGACATTGTTAGCAACCCTGAAAAGCGGAAGGAATATGAGATGTAAGTTGGAGATGGGAAATTGTCAGGTGGGGTAAGTGAAAAGTCCTCAGTAGCAGAGGCCCCTGGACTTGTGGATGGAGGCTCTTCGAGGCTGAGAGAACTGAGGTTGCTTGTCTTTCTAGGTGGCCAGGGGCCTTAAGAGGCCAATAGGTCTGTCCTCCTTTGTCCCTCCCTCAGTGCCTCCTGCCTTACAAAGCCTTTCTTCTCTTAGGAAACGAATGGCAGAGAATGAGCTGAGCCGGTCAGTGAATGAGTTTCTCTCCAAGCTGCAGGATGACCTCAAAGAGGCAATGAATACTATGATGTGCAGCCGATGCCAGGGAAAACACAGGTATGAAAGAGGAGGAGGTCAGGGATGGGTCAGTCAAATCTCAGAGACTGGGTAGCGGAGACCTTCCTTGTGAGCCTTACTGGTAGTTGTGGGATACAGATGGTGAATAGACCCTGAGGTTTCTATCTTTGCGATGCTGTAAGAGATTGGGGATTCGAATTAGCAGTAAGAAAAAAAAATCATCAATAATATTTTTAGCTTTAAGATGGAAGATTGTATTGACAGTTCCACAATAATAGTAGGAGACTTCAACACACCACTCTCAGTAAAGGACAGAACAACTGAAAAGAAACTCAGCAAAGATACAGAAGACCTAAAGGGCACAATCAGCCAACTTGACCTCATAGACATATATAGAACACTCCATCCAACCGCTGCAAAGTACACATTCTTTTCCAATGCACATGGAACGTTCTCCAGAATAGACCACATCTTAGGCCAAGATCAATCCTCAGTAAGATCCAAAACGTTGAGATAATTCAAAGTATCTTCTCTGACCACAATGCCATCAAGGTAGAAATTAACAATAAAAAGAGCAAGGAAAAAAAATCAACAACATGGAAACTGAATAATACCCTGCTTACACATCACTGGGTAATAGAAGAAATCAGAGATGGAATCAAAAAATTCCTAGAATCAAATGAGAATGAAAACACATCAAAAAAAAAAAAAAAAAAAAAAGATTGAGGGCAGGGTATACAAAGATATATATAACAACTGAATAGATATAACTTTAGATGTTTCAATCCTATGTATCAGCAGCGATGAGACTACAGTAGTGCCCTAGGTAGGCTTGATAGATTATTGAGGAATTATCCTTTTGTTGGATTGCAGGAGGTTTGAAATGGACCGGGAGCCTAAGTGTGCCAGATACTGTGCTGAGTGTAATAGGTTGCATCCTGCTGAGGAAGGAGACTTTTGGGCAGAGTCAAGCATGTTAGGCCTCAAGATCACCTACTTTGCGCTGATGGATGGAAAGGTGTATGACATCACAGGTACAATTCTGTCCTCTAGAAGTATGGACCCATACTTCCTGATCTCATATGTGCTCTAAACTTATGTTTTGGTTAATTATTTCTCATGTTTGCAGAGTGGGCTGGATGCCAGCGTGTGGGAATTTCCCCAGATACCCACAGAGTCCCCTATCACATCTCATTTGGTTCTCGGGTCCCAGGAACCAGTGGGAGGCAGAGGTAGGTGGTATTTTTCCTCAGTAATCTGTTTGAATATGGTTTCATATGACATACTGTCTAGGACACCTAAGCCCTAGTGGCACAGTGGTGAAGAGCTGGGCTCCTAATCAAAAGGTTGGCAGTTTGAATCTACCACCACTCTTTGGAAACCCTGTGTGACAGTTCTGCTCTGTCCTGTAGGGTCACTATGAGCTGGAATCGACTCGATGGCAACAGGCTTGGTTTTAGGTTTTTTAAGTGCCTCCTTAAGGAGCCTGGGTGGTGCAAGCAGTCTGTAACTGGCTTCAAACCCACCCAGCGGCTCACGGAAGAAAGGCCTGGTGATCTGCTTCTGTAAAGATTACAGCCAAGAAAACACTATGTGGAGCAGCTCTATTGTGTAACACATGGGTCACCATGAGTCAGGGGCTGACTGAATGGTAGCTAACAAGTACCTTATCCTCTTAAGTTTGGGAACTAACTCAGTATCTTTAACTTAGGTAACCATGTGACTCTAGCAACATCTCTTGTCTCATTATTTCTTCTCAGAGCCACCCCGGATACCCCTCCTGCTGACCTTCAGGATTTCTTGAGCCGGATCTTTCAAGTACCCCCAGGCCAGATGTCCAATGGGAACTTCTTTGCAGCTCCTCAGTCTAGCCCTGGGACCACCACAGCCTCCAAGCCCAACAGCACAGTACCCAAGGGAGAAGCCAAACCGAAGCGGCGGAAGAAAGTGAGGAGGCCCTTCCAACGTTGACACCCCTTCTCTTCTTTCCTCAAATCAATGTCAGGGAGTCAAAAGGGCTGTGTACAGCACAGGATGGAGTTTGATTTGTTTATTTTTTAAATATTTAAAAAAGGGAAAATTTTAAGCTCAAATTCTTCACTGAGTACTTATAGGAAGCCCCTGAACCACTCTCCCTTCTCCCCCAGTACCCAGAACTGAATCTTGTCTTCTGACAATACCAAAGAAATAGGAGGTGGCTAGAGCAAAGAAGCTAGGGCTTGGACTGGACAGTATATCCCATGGTGGTGTGGGAATCCCAGGTATTTCCCTGGGGTTTGTATGCCTTTGTCTTGTCTTTTGCTTTTAGAGCAGATAACTTCTTCTCCCCCTTTTTAAAGTATGAGTCTGTCTTATTTCTTGACCCATTTCAGGGTGGACACCCCTCCTCCTCTGTCTCCATATACTAGTTAAAAGACAGAACAAGAAAGCATGTAGCCCTAATTGTAGGAGGTACAGCGAGTTCAGAGTGGGAGCTTTGAATTCTCTCATCCTCTTTCACCTTTGTGGGTAATCACCCAACTTCAGGCTTGTTGCTGCAGGGATGGCCAAAATTAATAATTTTTGAAAAAGCAGACTCATGCCCTCTGCTCTTGGTTAAGGGGAAAGGATAACGGGATTCTCAGCAGTCCCCTTGTGATCCAAGGGTTTGTATTTTTTTAAGTTTGTTCATATTTGTATGTACATATCTATTTAAAGCCAGGAAATTATCTTTCTATAAATATATAACTGGCAACCTGTATCTTCCCTCTCTTATTTGTCCATATAGCTGGAACTCTTTTTATCATTTGAGAATCCTTTCCATACTGTTAGCTGAGAGTGAAGGACACCCCCTATTGGACTAAGGGAGAGAAAATAAAAAATAGTTTAGAGAAGTTTTACACAGTCAAATACTCCCTTTCTTCCCCTGCCTTATGAGAACATCTCCCTACTCTTCCTGCTTACCAAATAGTAGCCATATCTGAAAAAAGTATCTTTATTATAAGGAAGATATACAGCAAAACATAGCTGGAAGGTGCTGGGGGTGAAATATATAGAAAATCACCAAACAAGCTGCCCAAACATGGCTTCCTGCTGTGGAGCAGAGGGGATTTGGCCCTTAACTCATCTGCCCTTCCTGACTCAAAGAAACCTGCCCCTAGCATGGCTGGGCCCATGGAGCCCCATATGCCAGTGTCCTCCTGGGAATGTGGGAAAGGGTGTATAGTTGTTAGGCTTTCAAGATATAGCAGATAGTATAGAGAAGAAGGGATGCATGTTACAGCCCTTTGTTCCAATGTCTTCCCCATGCCTGTGGCACTGTCCCACGCCCCATCCCTCAGTACTTGTTGATGCCAAAGAGACGAACCCCATGGAACTGGGGCAACTTAGGCAGTAGTACACTGAGCAGTGAGGCTGTGTTGACGAGGAAGTGAGCAGCATCATACTTGGTATAGAAGCTGGCCAGGAGGTAGCTGGGGAGAAGAAACAGGATGAGTGAGGTTAGCCTTCCCTTATCCATATTCATGACTTTCCAGTGATTTGTTTTGATTTAAATGACCTGTTCTATTGCTTGTAGTCCTAGGACATCCGAAAACATTCCAGCTATAGCAACAGTTATTTACTTTGGGGTTGGGAAATCATCAGATAGCACCTTTAACTGGAGATTTTAAGTCAGTTTGCATGTTTCTTAACTGTTAATGTCACGTGACAAACGACAAATGAAGCTGTTTCACCCTGTAGGACTGTTAAAGTCCTATTTGCTTCCACTCCCCACAGTCAGTTTTCATAGATTTACATCACTTCTTCCTCTATTTACTCACTTCTCTTTGGAAGTGTAAAAACATTTGGTTTTACTTGGCGTCTTTTCTCAGTCTCTTCTCCATTCCACTGCCACCAAGGGAGGTAGCAAGGAAATTCTTTTTTTTTTTTTTTTTTTTTAATATTTTATTGTACTTCAGGTGAAGGCTTACAGAACAGATAGTTTCTCATGTAACAGTAACACACATGCTGTTTTATGACATTGGTTAACAACCCCAC